CTACTACTGCAAACTGGCTCTCAAACAAAATTATGTATTTCATATATTGTAGCAGATATTCCACTTAAGCACATTTAAAAAGAACAAAGAATTTAAATAAAGCCATGGAAAAGAAAGAAAGTAAAAGAAAAGTTGTGTCGTCAGAATTCAATATCACTTGCCCAAGTTTACACTGATGGTCATGCTGTATATTTTACAACCAGATCTAAATTTCACTTGGTTTCCGTTTAGGGAAAAGGAATGACAGATGCTGCAGCTCACTAAATGGACACTTCATCTCTCACTTGCCTGAAGACAATTGGGAGCCTTATGTTTTGACCACATGTCATCCTGCTACACAATGCACTAACAATAGCAACTAGATGCGTCCTAATCTCTATGGCAATGAAAAAACAGTTGCTAACCATCTTCCGTTTGGCACCTTTTGTATACCTAAATACTGCTATCTTGTTTTTTTCTCTCCAGACTGTCTATCCCAAATTCCTTCAATCTGTCCTCATGAAAGTTATGTCTTCAAATACCTGTATCATTCTTGTCATTCTCCTCTGGATTATGTTCTAACTTGGTGGTTCCCAATCTGTGGTCCATGAAGGCTTGAAAAAATGACATACCGTAACTTAAATCTTGAGTTAGGTCTTGGTGGCCATGATCTGTGGCCATAAAAGGTATTTAAAGAGAGTCTGTGGTGAAGAAAATGTTGAGAACCACTGTTCTAACCAGTCAATATTCTGGAAATGTAGTGCCCAGGACTTTTTAATGCCGCGACCCCCAACCGGTCGTAAGTTGAGGACTAAACCGGTCGTAAGTTGAGGACTAAACCGGTCGTAAGTCGAGGACTACCCAACCGGTCGTAAGTCGAGGACTTTCCCTGCCCGGGAGCGCCGCGCATGCGTGGTTCCGCCCCCTGCCCCGGCCGAGGCGTAGCTGGCAAGCGGCAGAGACGGAGCAGGCTGACCACCAGCTGGCCCAGCTCAAGGGAGGTAAGGCACCCGCCGGAAAAGGGGAAAAAAATGGCGGACAGCCTTGCTTGGCGACCCCCGTGAAATGGTCGATCGACCCCAAATGGGGTCGCGACCCATAGGTTGAGAACCGCTGCTCTAAGTAGTGCAGAGCAAAGGGGAATAAGATCTTCAGGCATCTTTGAAACAATGCTACTTCTAAAGCAGTCCAGAACTGCATTAATCTTTTTAGTTGCCATATCCACCCTGGTGGCTCATGGCTTATTGTCACTGATCACACCCAAGTCATTATCTGACATACTGCTTCCAAACCATCTTCTATATGTCCATGGAATTTTCCCTCCCTAAATATAATACCTTACTTTTCTCCCTGTTGAAGGACAGGGAGTCCAGTCTTCCAACTTGTGCATATTAGATTGCAATTGTTCCTTAAGGGTTGACCAGACCTCCTGATGTTGTTTCTTAAATGAATTTGAGAAGTAGCCCACCAATCCTATTGCCCAGGTCATTAATAAAAATGTTAATAGTACTGTCTTGAGACAAATCCTTGCTGGTCCTGCCTGGCTACTGCTCTCTAACTTGATCTAGAGCCATTAATACTGAGCGCAGTTAGCCAGCCGGTTCTAGAGCTCCCTTATCTAATGCCATCCAAATCCCACTTGTCAATGAGAATGTCCTGGGGAACCTTGTCAGAAGCATCGCTGAAGTCGAGATGGATTCTATCCACACTATTTCTCATTAAAGTAGTTACCTTGTCAAACTACATAGATGGAAAGATTTCCTGGAAAGTCTGTGAATACCTGACCTGTATACATAATGGAATATGTGGAGACTTCAGGGAATTTTTAATCAGGAATAATAAATAGAATAGTTGATGGCTTGTATAAACTTGAATTATTTTAGGGTCAAAACAATGAAGGTAGACTGGCTGAGATTTGAATAGTTGAGCAGTTGTCATTTTCAGTGCTGTGAATTCCAAAGTGTCCTTTGTAATTTATTCTGTTTGAGGTGACCCACTCACCCAACCCTTTCTGCTCATTTACTTCAAAACATATGCACGTTCTGTCTTTTATTAGCTTCTCCTGGACAAAGTGGGCTACGGTATCTATAATGAAACAGATTTTCAAACGTCTTCAGTAAGCTGAAGATTGTTAAGTGGATTTCCTTTTAATTTCATGCAGGGTTCATTATGTGAAATCTAGTTGCAGAAAACCTTGCTAAACTGAACCAAACACAACTAGCATATGACTGTAGCTATACTACATGATGATGATGAAGAAGAAGATGACAATGATGATGATGATGATAATATTAAATTCCACCTTTACTTTCAAATGATCAGGAGGCATATAGAATACCCCTTGGTATTGTAAGGTTCTTCCGTACAATAAAGAACAGATTCCTTGCATTTTGCTTCAGAGAGTCACCCTGAATTCCAGTATTGTGTGAGAGTTAACAAAAGTCCATGTGCCACAATTTTATCATTGTACATCAGTATAATTATACTCCTCACTGTTATTTTTAAGTCATTTAATTGCAAAACTGCTCAGATTTTGCTTTTTTGCAACTTCTCCATCTCTACAATATTATTTTTTTGTATTTACTAGCATGACAGAGAGAAAGATTATGAAAGAGGGATTGCTCCACAATATTTCCTGGAGACCTATGAAGCCATTTACCGTTGGGACATGATTTTGAAGGCGTCCGGCAGATAGCACTGGACATTCTCCATCTGGAAGGGGTCAGCATCACAGATCTTGTCATCTGTGCGGCCATAGTTAGCATTCTCCACCATGATGACATCACTGCCTGGGCAACGCAGCTCAATAGGATAGCCCTCGCATGCCAGTTCCCGCCGAACCAGACCAAAGGGTAAGCCGGCACGGCTTAGGCCTGCTGGAATAAGAAATGAGAGAGTAAGAAAACAGGTTAGTATGCAACCCAGTCCTGAAATCCGATTCCATCTCCTGATTGCTGGCTGTAATTTTCTCCCCTGTTTAAGTATTCAATGAGACCAAAGCCTAAAAGGCCTATGGTTATTTTCCATGCTACACAGAACAGGAGATAGATAAATCAGAATTTTATTTTTCTCTTATAGTTTCTCTTATATTTTGCTTGGGACCTGCACCATCTTTTTCCACATCTTTTGTTTTCAGTTTCAGTCCTTGATGAGAATAGTAGGGATCTGGAATCCTTTATACCTCCACTGTGGCACATCTGGGTAGGTTTTAAATGTGAAGCTATGTGTGTCCTTGCACCACCCAAGAAGTAAAAAGAAAAAGAAAAACCACTGGCTCCTATTTGTGGGGCTGAGCTGCATATCCCACCTAAACTCTACAGATTCAGGCAGGTATGTCTTTAAAAACCCAGACATGTTTTTCATAAAGCTCTTGGCTTCCCACACCACCCACTTTAGAGACAGCAGCTGAGAAAAGGGTCTGAGAAAATTCTTTACAATCCTTTTGAATCTTGCAAGGTTTTGTGAGACTGAAGAGGTGGAGGTGGGAAGTAAACAAGAGGAAAAACCATTTGAAGGCCAAACATGCCATTAGGAAAGTTTCCAGAAAGATTCGTGCTAGATGTTTGTTTATTTTTGTTAAAGAGGGATGGGAAAAGATAACAATGGACACTGAGCTGGAAGTCCACCATTGCAGAATTCTGTCACCATCGCTATAAGCCAAAGAGACAGTGACACCAAGCATCTATTCCGAATAGTTAGATTTTTGGAACTAGTTCCTAGTCATCAGAGAATTGTGGTTAAGTATTTATTTTAGAAATCTTTCTATATGAGGTAAAAAGTCGTGGGAAAGAGAATGTCCTGGGCCCAGCTGTTCCTGGAAATGCTACATAAAAATGTTCACTCTCACACACAAGCTCCACCCTTTTAACCATTTTTCCCCCTCATCAACATTCATCCTTCCTGTGCTTTGGAATATCTAGCTATCTTCAATGACTACCTTTATCCCAAAGATTTCTTCATTGTAAATTTGCTGAAACTGCATACTAACATCATGTGATGTTCCAGTTACAACAATAGCTGTCTCAAAAAGGAGATGACTCTTCACAGATGATCAACAGGTCACCTTTTTGCACTATAGTTCTCTGTCCTCTGAATGATAAACTAGAAGGATGAAGTAGTGTTACTTCTTACCTGGCAGGTGCTGCTGCTCTCATTTTTGGTCAGAATTGCTGAAAGGTAAGATGCAGCACTATAGTATGCATTCAACCAATCAGAATAGAGCTGGAAGGGACATTGGAGGTCTTCTAGTCTAACCCCCTGCTCAAACAGGAGACCCTATACCAGGGATAGGCAACCTTGGCTCTTTTATGACTCGTGGACTTCAGCTCCCAGAATTCTTGAGCCATGCTGGCTCAGGAATTCTGGGAGCTGAAGTCCACGAGTCATAAAAGAGACAAGGTTGCCTACCCCTGCCCTATATCATTTCAGACAATTGACTGTCTAGTCTCTTCTTAAAAACCTCCAGTGATGGAGCGGTCATGATTTCTGAAGGCAAGCTGTTCCACTGGTTAATTGTCCTCACTGTTAGGAGGTTTCTCCTTAACTCCAGGTTCCTTTTCTCCTTGAGTAGTTTTCATCCATTGTTTCTTGTCTTGCCTTCTGATGCTTTGGAAAATAAATTGACCCTTCCTCCTTGTGGTAGCCTCTCAAATACTGGAATACTGCTATCATGTCAGCCCTAGTCCTTCTTTTCTCTAGACTGGCCATACCCAATTCTGCAACCATTCCTCATATGTTTTTGTCTCCAGGCCCTTAATCATCTTGGCTGCTCTTCTTTGCACTTTTTCCAAAGTCTCAGCATCTTTTTTGCAATGCAGTGACCAAAACTGGATGCAGTAATCCTGGTATGGTCTTACTAAGGATTTATAAAGCGGTATTAATACTTAATGTAATTTTGATTCTATGCCTCTGTTTATACAACCAAGGATTGTATTAGCTTTTTTCATAATCCCTTCAAGGGATGACTAACAAGGACAAGAGCTTGACAAAAAGGTAGGATAGCAACAAAACACTTGTATGACCTAAAATACTTTTGCATGTGAACTGATGACTACATCATGGTTTTCCACAGCATCATCCAGGACGAAATGTCCCAGTTGTTCAGAGATCTATTTGCTTGGCCCTACCTTCTTTCCAGCTGTTTTAGCCTCCATAATCTGTCTCACATTAGCTAAGGTGTCCATTTTCCCTTCTCCCTGTCTCCCAAGGAGAGGATAGGAAGGTGATAGTGCATCACCAGGTAAAAAATGGCAGGAAGAGTTTTAGCAAGGGTTGCTTGGGGGCATGTTATGGCCCCATCTGGCAGAACATCTGCATTCCTTTTGGGCTTATTTCTTCCTTGCTGGTTGTTCTAATCAGCCAAGAGGTTCCTGCATTTGACTGCAAGGACAACTGTCAAAGCTTCTAGTGGGAAGCACACATTAGTGGCACTCAGGACTTCAAAGGGAAGATAAGAGGGGGGGGGGCTAGAAAGCAAGCATGTCATAGATGCTCTTTGTGTAATTTTTCCTTCCCCCTTGCTGGGTTAATGGAAGAGCCCTGTGGAGGCAGTCTGTAATTAAACCATTAGCTGAGTAACTAACTAGTACAGCCTGGCGCTGGTGTTTGAGATGTGGGGAGAGCCCAGCAGACAAGAGAAGGTCGGAGCTGGAAAAAAAAACCCAGGGCAACTGAGAATAGCAATACCAGTGGAAGACAGTAAGTGAAAAAGGGATGAAGGAGCTGGGTTCCAGTAGAAAATTAGTTGTCAAAGCCATGAATTTTCACACCGGTAACCTAGGGAGAAGCTCTCTTCAATGAGGACCACAGCCTCCCAACTGCATCTTAATGTGTTTGCAATTGCTAAGGCTATGGCGCTGATTTGGTTTCAAATGGCAGAGATGCCTAATTGTGGGTATCAGTTTGTTGTTGTTAATTGCGAAGTCGTGTCCGACCCATCGCGACCACGTGGACAACGTTCCTCCAGGCCTTCCTGTCCTCTACCATCTTCTGGAGTCCATTGAAGCTCACGCCTACTGCTTCAGTGACTCCATCCAGCCACCTCACTCTCTGTCGTCCCCTTCTTCTGTCGCCCTCAATCTTTCCCAGCATTAGGCCCTTCTCCAGTGAGTCCTTCCTTCACCCCCAAATAATTGGCAAGCCTGAAGTGAAGAACAAGATCCTTCCTACCCAGAGTCTACCAAACAGAGGCTGGCTTGCAGCTTCAACACAGCCAACACAACGATGTCCTCTGCCGCAGTGGAGAATTAAGCTTAAAGGGATGGTATACTTAATGTCTTAACAATTCACACTCACTCCCCCCTCCATTGGTCCTGTGTGATCAGAGCCTTTGCTAAACACTTCACGGGCATCATATTTTGGAGGAATCTTTCTTTCCACCTCCTCATTCCATTAGCTGCCTTTACTACAGTTTTTGCTAGATGGCTGTGATTTTGAATAGAAAGATGATCACAGAGTTGGGTACTGTTGCTAGCTCAAAACCCCAAATATCTGTGTCAGAAGCTTTAAAGGCTCCAGCAGTGTGTGTGACAATGGTCTGCAGTGACAATGCCAGCCCTCATGCTTCTTTGGTCTAATTTCCTTTCCTTTCCTTTCGGCCTAGCTGGACTCTTGTTTCACTTCCCCACAGCAAGAATGAAGGATAGCTAAAATGACAATTATGAACAAATATGAAGCGTCTCTAAGTGGCAGATTAGGATTTACTTCTTCTTCACATAGGCTGACTCTTCCAAGGTTTGGAGTCCTAAAGAATTAACTTTCATCTCCAAATGTGAACCTGAGAATCCTGAGGGTGGTGTGCGAAGATATGCATATTTTTAGTAACTGCTTTCCAGTGATTGTAACTTCCCTTTTTACTCTTACTCCTTTTCTCATCATTTCTAGCCTTGCTTTTTCTTTCCCCCTTCACCACAACGTTGACATCTATCTGGTTTAGCTACAGGAGGCTGCATTTCCACTCCAGAATGCCTATGGATGCTTAACTCTCACTGTGGACACATAAGAAAAGATATACCAGAATGGGAATTGGGCAGAAAGGTAAAACTGGACAGGAAGATGGTCAGGAAGATTTAATTGACATGAATTGACTCTATTCATCACAGAATGCAAAGACCTTCGTGCTCAAGGAATCACCCATACCTTGGTGTCTTTATGACTTGCTGACTTTCAGATGATGGATGACAGAAATCGTGGCCATTCAGGATTATTTGTCCAAGATTATTTATTGAATAAAAATGGGGGAAGAATCTGGATTTTTATTGGTTTCTACTGTCCTCCTAGGTGCCAATTATGTTTCTGTCCACTGTTGTTTTATGTGCAACACAGATGGCCATTAGCCTTTTCTATTTGGGTCTCAAGATCAGTCATGCAAATTATGAGCCAAGCATTACTGCACATCTGGTTTTGTTTAGAGACACACACACAGACACAGACACCTCACCCCCACACATACACATACACAAAGGCTAGGTTTGGCTTTAAGCACCTTCCAAGTGCCAGGCTGTTGTCAAAGAGCTGTAAGACATGAAGTACCAAAAACAGCCACCATTACAGAACCATCCTTGAAGTGAAAAGCAGAGAACAGAAAAGCCCTGATTTGGGACAGTTTGGAAGATTTATGGTGAAACCACCTCTGCTAGAACTTTCTTTAGAAAAGTAAAATGCTCACATCTCACAACAAACTGGATAAGACAGAAATCTCATTAGTACCGTCTGCTTTCTTGCAACAGTACACAGGTTATTTTTTTGTGGTTACATATTTGTGTACAGTGTAGTTACTCACTACCTCCATGTCCATTTCAAAGTGATAGTTATTACCTTCAAAGTTCTCCACAGCTAGGAGCATGCTTCCCCCAAAGGTATGCTTGGGCCCAGCCGT